TTTCTTAAATAATTATAAACAGAGAAGTAGAGAAAGTTACATAAATTGTTATACAGGTTCTCTTGTCCACATTAAGTATGTCAACGTCTACGTGTATTTAATAAGAATGTTTCAAACAATAGTAAGATTATGTTGTAAGATTATGGAGAATATTAGATGATACTATTGGTTTGATCTTGAATAATCTTTTGAAAGTTAAAGTCACCTTGAATGTTTTAAATAAGAACTCCTATTTTTAGTTTCTTAAAATGATTCCTTTCTACGTATAAAAGTGTTTAGGTGTCACACATCTCAAAAGCTAAATATCGAAAAATTGTGTGGTAAAATTTTTTAAGTTTTGAGAAGTACAATAGTGATAGCATAACTTCGAAACATTGATCAACTGTTATATTGATCTATTATATCGATCTAACTGTTGCATTGATTTAACTGTTATATGCAAATATTAGTTTCATCAATCAATTAATTTCATCATTCTGTGTATAAAAATATTGAAGTAAAATTATCGAAAAATGAATACTTTACAAAATATTTAACATTTATGTCAAAAAGTATTTTAAAAATGTGAAATATCTCGTAAAATATTCACTTCACAATTATTTTACTTTAATATTTTTAAATAATAGGAGGAATTGATTAATGGTATTAATATTACTAATGAATTGATAGTGATACTAATACTAATATTACCAATAAATTGATAAGGTAAAGTGATACTAATACTAATATACACATAGTTGGATCAATGTAATTGCAAAATGTAGTAAAATTTTTATATTTTTTTACATTTTCAAGGTCATACTATTATCACTATTCTTCTCAAAACCTGAAAAGTTTTGCTAAATTGTTTACAATATTTTGTCGTTTTCGAGATGTTCTGCTGTTGCATTTAAAGTAGGACATCCTGTATTCAAAATATCTCTAGATGAATACTGTTTGATAATAATAATTGTTTGTAAATGAAATTGCTAAATCAAATAGAATTTGAATGTACATATAATAAGCCTTAGGCATTTTTTACCCACCTTTCTTTAAGATGAAATTGTTTTTATGCAGTTATCGTAAGGTAGATTGCACATTGGACATCTCTTGTGCATTATATTATTACTGCAGCTGTCACACACACATAAATGTCCGCATGGTACAAATACATATAATGCTTTTTTACTTAAGCATATGATGCAGCTACCTGCTGGTTGTGGTTCTTTATTATCATCAATAAGTTTTTGTACATCGCATATCTTATAAAATGTTGTTTCAGGTGACGTAAGACTCTCATCAAAAAAAGAATAATCATCCTCTGGTATTCTATAAATTTCTTCATCTGTAAGAAATAAAAATAAAAATATTTTTGAAGAAGTAAACAAAAAATGAGTATATGCAAGTAAATACTATTTATATATAATGTATTATTATACAATGACAAATTTATATGTAATTTTTACGTAAATAAGTTTTATTATATAATAATTTTATGTATATACAATATTTTATAAAGCATTACAATGTGAGTAAGTAAAAGATATAAAAAATTAAGACAAAATTTTATTATTAGTTTTATTGATTATTATAAGATTATTATATTATATTATAAAAGTATCCTATTTTTACAAAATAAATAAATATTGTAATATTATAGCTCTCCATATTTAAAAGCGCCGCAAGTGGACTTTAGCCTGTGTTCACCCGATGGTGAAAGCAAAACGCCGCGTGCAGACTTTAGCCTGTCGACGAAAGTAACACACCGCGAGTGGACTTTTAGCCACAATTTATATACAAAGTCGGGAATCGGGAAAAGCAAGACGCCACGAGCGTGATATCGTCAATTGTGTAATACCAGTAATTGATTATTACTTTTTCTGATACAATATTCATTAATATTTAGTAAAATTGATTATTTCATTTCTGTATCTAAAATTGAGAAGAAAATAAAATGAATTCTTAATAACTTTATATTAATAAAAATATTTTTATTTAATGTTTCTTAATTCAATATTAAATTCAATATTAAAAAGCCATATTATAGTAAAGCTAAACATTAAAATATAAATACTTTAACAACTATCTCTAAAACAGATAATTGTATTTTTTAAATTAAGTCAATCATATAAATTAAATATGAAGTTAGTCTAAACACTTTTTAAAATAATGTTAATATAGACTTTAATAGCAATTCTAGAAATTATATTAATGAAATTGTTAAAACAAATGCAGTTAAACGGTACTATTCTATTAACAGAAATATATACAAGGTTTATTCTTTATAGCTACATTGTTACTGCACTGGAATTGTTCCTCTCTTCAACTAAGTTTCAAACATATACCTCATTTTTATATTTTTAATGTAGAAAGCGTAATCTATTACACAGGTACAAAGATTAGATCAATATATAAAAATTAATATTAATTATATTAAATGAATAAAACTTAAAAAATTTATATTATAAATTTTTTAAGTTTTATTAAAAAAACGTAATGTAAATATCAAGGTGGACAATTACATTTATTTTTAAAATTTTTTAAATTTTTATATACAAAGTGTAACATAATTCTGTAGCATAATTCATACCCATTACTTACATAATATTATTCTTTTTTTAAAAGTAATACAAAAATCTTAAAGCATTTTTTTAAGATACATAGTGAAGGAGGAATAATTAAGTATAAAGTTTACCAATTAGAATTACTATTTAGACAGGCATGTGTCCATGAGAAGAGCATTTGAAGTGTGTCCAAAATTGTGTGCAGTTTGTTTTTGGTGTTAAAGGTCCACAAACTTATACCCATAACAGTTCAGAGCGATTGATTTATGAAATGGATTAAATGAAAATAATTGCTTGTAAAGCTTTGTAGAAAAAAAGATTCAGAACTTTTTGTCTTGATTTTTAACAACAAATAATGCTATGTGGTAAACGCAAATTATATTGCACTCTATACTGATAAATAAAAAAAAGATCTTCATAGTAAAATTCTTTATACAGGATGTCCCAGAAAGTTTGATAACCCTTTTACTGATTCTACAGATTCTGTAGAACCTTCTAAGACGAAAATCCTTATGTAAAAATGTCGAGGTTATCATAGTTTCTGAATGGGAAGTGCTTATAGTTGGCTAATCAGTTTGCGGAAATTTCGTGCGCTCAGGCGTGGTGTATCGTGAAGATACACTCGCACATTGATTCAGTTTCTAGAAATTGACATAATTCTGAATATGACAAAGAAATTACTTAGAGAAGCGGCACCTTCACGATGTACCATACCCAAGCACGCGAAATGTCCGCAAACTGATTAGTCAACTGTAAGTGCTTCCCATTTAAAAACTATGATAGCTTCGACATTTTTACACAAGGATTTTTGTCTTGGAATGTTCTACAGAATCTGTCAGTAAAAGGATTATCGAGCTTTCTGGGACACCCTGTATATAAAATTATATTAAAAAGACAATACTTTCTTATATTTATATTTCATACATATTACTAAGGAAATAGTTATTATTAAATAATAAATTTTGTTATTAAAATATTACCATTTGTCCTATTTTCAATCATGTGGTCATTAGTGCTTTGCTCTCCTGCAGAATTTTGATTAACATTTAAATGTTGCTCCTCTGATGGAACATCTATAATGAAGAAATATAGGCAATTTACTTTATAATGTGTGATTAAAACAATTTAAGAATAAGTTTGTAAATATATGTTTTGATATAAAAAATAAGAAACTAAAATACAAAATAATCAACATGCACATATGTATTAACATAGACATATTTTAATATATGTGTAATTAATAATAATAAAAACAGAGAACACCTATTCCTTATTTTTGTCAATGAGGCAATGTATGCATGTATGCATCTATGTATGTATGTATGTATATAATGCACATGGTATAAAAGCAAAATAATTTATAATCATATGAATATGATAAGGTATAATCATAATAATTTAAATATAATATTAATTATTTTAAAATATAATAATTTATAATCATATTCATATGATTATCAATCATTTTGCTTTCTATAATACACACACGCACACGTTGTATGGCGTGTGCGTGTGTGCGTGCGTGCGTGCGTATTTTATATAAAATACATTACAGAGAAGATATTTTGCTATACAACTTAAAATAGATATTATGTATAATTTATAGATTTTTCATGAAAATGTACTGTGTATTTTTCGAAATATTTATAATATATGTATATATATATATATATACACATATACAGGGTTTACTAAAAATGTGGAAACCCTGAAATATGTATTTCGAAAAGTATATATTTTCATGAAAAACCTAGAAACTGTAATCTAGAAATTATACATGATATCTATTTTGAGTGATATAACAAAATATCTTCTCTGTATTTTAGAAAATGTTTTAAACAAAGTTGTAGAGTACAAAATAATATATTCAATGGTGTTAATAGTTTTACTTTGGATTCAGTCACCAAGATAAAGGTGGCTTTTTTTAAAAATAAGAATGCCGACTTGTATTAATTCCACAAATTAATTCCACTTTTTACTCCTCATATAAAAGTATTGAAATAAGATCATTAAAAAGTGTGTGAATACTCTATGAAATATTTTGTATGTGCATTTAATTGTGGACTTTTTAGTATAAAATGTGAAATATCTCACAAAGTATTTATTTTTCGACAATCTTAATGTTTTTATTATACATAGAATGATGGAAAAAATCGATTAATGCAGAAAACGTGTAGAAATATCTTTAATTTCGATTATATTTTATTTACATTGTGCAATTATATTAATCTAATTATATACAAAAATTAGTATTATTAATCAATTTTTGCCATTCTATGTATAAAAGTATTAAAATGAAATTATCAGAAAGTGATACTTTACGAGATATATTTCTCATTTACATAAAAAAATATTGGAATCAGATACAAAATACTTCAAAAAGTATTCGATGATCTTATTCCAATACTTATATGTAAAATAATGAGTGGAAAAATCAATTTGTAAAATCAAAATAAGACTACTAAAGAAACCAAACTTGACCTTGATCTGATCGTAGTAACACAACCCAAGATCAAATATTAAATATGACCAAATACTTGACCGTACACATGCAACTTTTGTTTGAAATTCTTTTTCTAAAATACATTATTCAGAAAATATTATACAGAAGATATATTTTATATATGACTACAAATTGGATATTTTGTATATTGCTAGTATAATTAAGACTACTGTAACTAACAATAAGAGAATTTAATTTTTAATTATAAAAATATATAAATTCCTTATGTTCAAATAGAAATAGCTAAGATGTAATTTAAAAATTCTTTTTTACTGTTGAAAGATTTATATGTCTATTTCATTTGAATTTACAATAAATGCAAAATATAGATAATACAGCATCAAAGAATATCTTTTTTACATAAACTATTTCGTGAAAAGATTTTATTTATGTAATGATTTACTTTATAGTCTAACATTATCATTCAAAATTATTATTCATTTTCTTGAAAAACAAAGTTAAGTTAATTAAGTTAAAAGGATCATGTTGAAAAATTTATAATAGTTAAAATTAAGTTATAATATAAATGTAATGCCAGTGAAATGCTATTTTACCTGAAGATTCAATGGACGGAGAAACTCCCTCTTGTCTTATTGTTAGTACATTATTACGAGAACGACGTCGTCTTTGACGAAAATTTTGAGGATATCTACTTTCAGCTAAACATGGAATAAATAAAGAAAAAGATAGTAATTTATCACTTAAGCTGCATATATGTACATACATCATAACTGGTTACAGTTCTACAATATGGAACCAACTATAAAACCTTACTTTTTTACTAGAGCAGATTTCTCAAAACATTAGAAATACAATTCTGCGTTAACATTATTTCAATTATAATGATCGAACTATAACTCTCTTCAAATACAATTCTATGTTATGTGCATTGTTAACATTACAAATAAAATTCTGTGTCATTGTTATATTAAATATAATAACCAAACTATAATTTTCCAAAAATACAATTTCATGTTACATGCGTTTTTTTACAGATAAGAATTGAATTATTTTTGCATAATACATACTAATACAGACTATCATGATCCCTTTGTAATACAGAATCAGAAATCACGAAAATGATGTTTGGTTCCTTATTGTATAGCTACACTAAATTGTTATACTAATTGTAAGCTAGGTAATTAATATTGACCTGATTCTGGAATTCTATCTGAAAGTAAACTCGCATCTATTTCTTCATTATCATTGGCTGCAATCAAAATATTACACAAATTAAAAGTAAAATATAAAAAGTTTGAATTATAGAAAGAAATTGGAAGATATTTCAAAATCTATTTATTATAGATAAATTCTAATAAAAAGAGTTATGTAAATATTTACCTTCAAGTAGTAATTCTGGTTGTTGATAATGTTCATTAAAGCGTGAAAACATACGTAAAAAATGTTCTAAAGAAATATCGCCATTCATAAGAGCATTTTGTCCTTCTTTAATTTGAATATTTTTTTCCTTATTAAATCGTGTGCGTGCTCGTCTAACACGTATATTATTTCGCAATCGAGAATAATCAATTTCTTGATTTGATATAATTTCCGATAAATGTTCTATAAAAAAATGTTAATGTACATACAATATGTAAATATATAATAAATATATAAATAAAAGAATACTATGTAAAAACTGTGAAAATATGTGTATAGCAGAAGAAACAAAATATATATATACCTAAAAATACCCATAGATTTGGTTTTGTACCAATTTTTTGATTCGCAATATGGTGGAAACTTTCCACTAAGTTATTTGTACGAACAGGACAATTATGCACAGATACTTTGGATGCTATAGGTAGCCAAGTACTACGCAAATAAGCCATGAATAATAATACATTTGGATAAGTTACAGAAATGCGATCTGCAACAATTTGCATAATGTTTAATGAATCCATAAATAAAGAACTAGGTGCTAATGCCATAGACATGGCCATAGATAACAATTCGCGAGGTGCACTTTTTAACTGCAGGCGTTGCCATTTTCTATAAAGCGCCTAGAACAGAAGAAAATATTTATTAGCATAATACAACATTATTCACTTCTTTAAATTATACTAAATATAGATACCTGTGAGTAATGAAACCAACAGCCATGAATAGAAGCAACTGGAAATTGTTCATTCATTACTGTTATAGCTGCCTTTTCATAATCTGACATAATAAATTTTAGATTTTCACTTAAACCAGGTGCAAGTGAAACAATTTTCTCCCACATTGTCTTATACAGAGAGGCAGAACGTACCTCACATAACACAAAAACTACCGCTATACCCTATATATCAATAAAATATTTCATAAAATTCACATATTCATAAATAGAATTCAGATGAAATTGCTAATGTAGCCAATTATTTGATAGTTTGCGCTGAGTGCTGAACAAAAGGAAAGTAATAAAAAGAAATAATGTAGTTAAGGTAAAAGACACAAATCCTGAACACATTTGTTCCTATTTTTAAACATTGTAATTTTAATCTTTAAATAAGATACAATTATAATACAATAATAAGTATTCTTTTCTTGTATCTTAAAGTTTTAGTTATAATTATAATATTATTATTCTTAGGTAAAAATTAAAACTACAAAAGTTTCCAAAAGTAAGTACATCTTAAGACATTGGTATTTATACTTTATATTATTCTATTTCCTTTCGGTCAATGACAGTGATAGTGATAGTGACAATGCTCTGCAAAAATGCTCAAATAGTGAACTACATTAATGACTTCATTTTAGCTCAATATGTATACTTCATACATATTACAACTAAAATTTTTTAGTAATACATACCGTATCAGCATACCGAATATGTATACTGTACAATTGTGCAATGTTTGGTTTTTTTGGAACAATCTATAAATATAAGTATGTATATAATTTTTGTAAATACTAGAAGATGATAAACATATATATACTAATGTATATGTTTGTATTAATATGTATATATATTTATATACTTATTTGTATACACACATATGTACATATATATCTATATTATATCTATAATTATGTATTATACACATAATTATATATAATACTTACGGAAAATGTTCCATCTACAAAAATTTCATTTGCTTCAGATAATAACTTTAATAATGTATCATTACTAAAAATAAGCGCTATTTTGTTATCAGGTGATATTGCACAGCCTTTATAGATACTACGTGTAGGTTCATATATCTCTAATTGTTGGTGCAAAGAATGTAAATTATTCGGAATCTTTGGGCGTGATTTTGATCTTTCACGACTGAAAATGGACTTCATATTATTGTATGAAATGTATGCAGCAGCTTCCAAATTAGTGCGACAAACTGTATCAAATATAATTTTGAAAGGTTTAGTTGTTTTTTTGCATAATTGAAGCATTTCTTTCTTCATATGGCTAATTTCAAGAATGTATAGTCCTTCTGGATGGTTGTGCAATACTTCCAAAGAATAAGATTCTCCTTCTTTTAATAATACTGCAGAACATTTCTCAGTTTTGCGTTTTGAACACCGATAAATATAATTATACCTATTGTCCTTACAATAAGTATAATTTTTGTAAACATACAATAGAGATCCATTTTGCTTTCCTTCTAATATCTCCATCTGGAAATATAACAAATAAAATTATAAGTTTATATATATTATAAATTATAAGAATTTAATATTCGATTATAAACCCAGCAGAAATTAGTATGTAATAATTGACTAATAATTAATCCTCATATTTACTTCAGCAAGACTTTAAAGGTTAGGAATCAATTAGATTTTATTAGTCACTAAGTAATTGCGAAGAATTGACTGCGATTAGCAGAGAAAACTGTTTTGCAACTGTTGTAAAAATCGTGAATCCAATTGATATATGCTTTTAGATTTAACCAAGATTAAGCGTATACGTCAATCAAATTCACAATTTAACAGCTCTACAAAGCAGCTTTTTTGCTGAATACAATCGTTAACTTCTGTTCAATTAAATTATTACTTTCTAAAGCTTCATTCCATTACTTAACTGCAAGTACTGAAAATGTATATAGTTTACATTACGTATATTAAAAATTTTCAGTACTGACAGTAAAATGCAGCCTAAAAAGATTATCTTCTATAATATCTTAATATATATTTAATACATCTAAATATCCCAGCAAACACAAAGTAACAGTTATATTGTTGAGTAGGAAATTTTAACTTACAGTTATATAACTGTTACTTTGTGTGTGTTTGCTGGGATATATCTTTAACATAAATAAATATCTTAATATGAATAATACCTATAACAGAAAGCACTCCAAGAGCGAACACGCGTTTTGCTTGATACCGTTTTGTTTGATACCATTTACAATAGGCCCGGTTTCACCAACGCGAGTTAAG